CGGGGCCGCGGGGGAGCGTTCGCACCGGCCAGCCGCTTCCGCGGCGCCGGAGCCGGACGGCTGCCCGGTGTGCGTGTGGCGGCAGCACAGCCGCGAGCTGCGCCTGGAGAGCATCAAGTCGCAGATCCTGAGCAAACTGCGGCTCAAGGAAGCGCCGAACATCAGCCGCGAGGTGGTGAAGCAGCTGCTGCCCAAGGCGCCGCCGCTGCAGCAGATCCTGGACCTGCATGACTTCCAAGGCGACGCACTGCAGCCCGAGGACTTCCTGGAAGAGGACGAGTATCACGCCACCACTGAGACGGTCATTAGCATGGCCCAGGAGAGTAAGTGGGCTGTGGGGTGCAAGCGGTGCGGTGCAGGCTCGGGAAGGACGCCTGGCGCTAGCAAGCCCGGCGCTCCAGGCTGCCGCGTCCTGGAAGCCTTTTCTGCAAAACTTGATGGATTGGGGAGCGGGGCCACTCCACAGAACTTTTTCGAGCAGAGAAGATGGGCAGCGGAGTTGAGTGCACGCCGGGTCCCGGGAGGTGGCGCGTTGTGGAGGGGGGAGGGGAGCAAACTGGGCAGGTTGAGATTACTGCCTCCCACCCGTGTGCGGAGAAAGACCCAAGTTGAAGCAGCCCCAGGAAACTGGGACTCAACAGCGACTCCTCTGAAGCGCTAGGTGGGGAAGGCTGGAGAACAGAATTAGGAGGCGGTGGGACCCCCACGGTCCCAGCTGGGCCGCAGTGCCATCTTTCCCACTGCTCTGGCACCAGCACCTATACCCTGTCCGGTGCTCCGTAACGCGCCCACCGGCCTTTGGAGAACTGAGTGTTCCTATAACCCACCCAGGCATAGGATCCCAGAACCCTGTGTCCCTCTCAACAGCCCAGCCTTTCCATCCTGAGACAGGTCTCGCACTGGGTACCCCTAAGAGCCAGAAAAGCTGCGCCTTCCTGGTACAGAAAGAGCTCAGAGAACTCAACTCCACTACGCTTGAGGCTTAAAGGACTGTAATTTGGTTACTCAAACCTTAGCGTTCTTAACCTTATTTACCCGCTCTACTCGTAGCTGGACTTAAGAAGTCAGAGGACGATCCAAAGAAAAAGAACTAGATGAGAGGGATGGGGAGAACCCAGGCATCCGAACCCCTGGCCAAACGGAGGGTGAACACGTTAATAGACATGAGCTGCTTTGAAATTTTATGGCCTGGAAAATCCAGGCCAATACTACCGCCCCCACTGCCTGCTCTCCCTAGGGTCAGATGACTCCCTCTTCCCTTCCCCCACTGACTCCCCCCACCCCCCAGTTCCAGGGAACCAGGCCCTCTATTCCCTAGAGGTTTGGCAACTGCCCCCCCCCCTTGGTTTTATGACTTTGAGGGGTGGGTTTATTGGCAGATGGGTCATAAAAAGCTGGGGACTGAGGGGAGTCCTAGTGGTCCACCCCAATGATAGAGGCACAGGAACCCAGGTGTGCATCTGGAAGGTGGTGTGCCTGGCACTGCCACTCAATTTCTGCAGAACTCAACTCCAACTTGATCAGGGTTATAAAGAAAAAAGAAAATTCAAAGAACCAGAACACCAAACTGTGTGTGTGTGTGTGTGTGTGTATGTGTGTGTGTTTGCATGGAGATCTGATATTGGGTTCTCAGTCTCTCTTCTGTTCTTAAGGCTTCTACTTTTGGAAGCCAGGGTCAGTCTTCGATTGACTGAGAGCGGGGATGGGGGTGAGGATTCTGGAAAACAGTTGTTGAGGAATTGTGTGACCTGAAGTTTGCTTGAAGATTAAGGATTGAGAGAGAAAAGACACTCTGGTCTGTGAGGTGTATATAAGGATTTCCTGAGTGAGTGACCCAGCCCTGATCTCCCCACTGCCCCTCGCTGTCTTTAGCATCCCTTAGCCATAGGCATGAGCCCAGAAATAGCTCTGGCAGTGGGGAATGACAGGAAGTGAAGGGATCTTGCATGCATAAATTGGGCAATGCAGGTTAAGCCTCCAGGAGGGGGGCGCACACCAGCAGATGAGGTTGGGGTCTCACCCTAACTTATATTCTAGTACCAGCCCAGGACTTGGGTAACCAGGGTACTGGATTTCTAACCAGGTATTGTACTTCCCCTTTAAGAGTCTAGCTGCAACCTTATGGGAGGGAGGGGGAGTAGAGGGGAGGGGAGGGAGAGAGAGGGGGGAAAAGGAAAAAGAGACTTTTATAGTCTAATCCCCAGGGACCCGCTTTAATAAGAGACTTGTGCTCTGCTAATCGGGGGAGGTGTTTGTCAGCAGAGATGGCCTCTGCTCCCCTCCCCCTTCTCCCCTCCCCCAGCTAACCCTGGACCCCAGCCCCCACCCCTTCTAGGCTGTTCTGCCTGCCCTAGTTCTCTCTATCCCCTCAGTCTCCCACCCCAGCCTTCATCCTGGGAACCCAGCCCCCTGCCCTTCTGAGAGCCAAGCCCAGCCCCTCAGTTTGTCTCTCCTGTGCACACTAAGAGGCCCCTGCCCTCTCAGCCCAACCTTCTGCCCCTGGGCCTTCCAGCCTGAGTTGGGAGAGGGTGCGTGGTGGGGGGAGGCGGTGAGTAGGGAGGGGGTTGGGCCTTTGCTGAAAATAGTGCAATGACCTCTCTCCCCCTCCAGCACCGCCTACTAAACCTGACCTGCTGCCTGCCACCAACCAAATCAATCCAACACAGATGTGGCCCCTTCCCCTCCTCAACAGAGCTGGGCCTATGTGTGTGTCGGGGGCTCTCAAGTCACTTCCCTCTGTGGCTTTACCTGCTTCTCCTTTGTTCCTCCCTTTGCACCCTGTCATCCCTTCTTTATCCCAGTAAGTCTGACTCCCCCCTACCTCTAACCTCTTAACCCCTACCTTCATCTGACTAGCCCACCCTGTTTCCCAATTTCCAAACTTATTTCTTCTCTCTTTGATCTTCCTGCTTGTCCCATTCCTCATCCTATCTCCTCTAACCTGCCTTCATTCTGGCTCTTTTCATTCTTACCTCAATGACTACTTCCATATACACAGACATGTATGTGGATTTCCTGGTAACCCTTGTCTGAAGAAACCAGACTTGAGGGCTATCCCATTACCCTGCCTCAGCTTTTAGTGGGATATGTTTAGTTTTTAAAATGAACAAACCAGTATATATTGACAAGCCTTTATTTTTCAATGTCTAAAATGCTCAGAATTTGTATCACACTGAGAAGTTTAGTGGGTAAGGTTAGATATTGGCTAACAAGCCAGGCAATGGTTAAATATACTTTGGTTGCTGCCAAAAAACAGAGTTTAAGAAGAACCCTCAGTCTCCTGCCTGTCTAATTTAAGATAAGGGTTCCATCTAGCATGTACTCACTGAGTACTGCACTGAAGCCACAATGATGAAACAAGCGTCAACCCTCAAAGAGATGAGTGTCTAATGGCAAGAAACAGACCATTCCATCTGGGGCTGGTGGTGCAGTCATGTAACCCCAGATCTTTGAGAGACAGGCAGGAACGCAACCTAAGCTCAAGGCCTGCCTGAGCTATGGGGTGAATTCAAGACCAGCCTGGTCAACTTAGTGAGAAGGTCTCAATAATAAAGTGCTGGGGATGAAGCTCAGTGGTAGAGTGCTTGCCTAGTATGTGTGAGGCCCTTGGTTTGATAATCAGTAATACACATGTACACACACACACACGGACACACGCACACAGATGCACACACACACTGCACACACAAACCCTATGCTGCAATTAGAAATGATCTGCCATTGGATTGTTGCCCTTGGTTTGATAATCAGTAATACACATGTACACACACACACACACACACACACACACACACACTGCACACACAAACCCTATGCTGCAATTAGAAATGATCTGCCATTTGGATTGTTGCTTATCATTTCTGATGAGCTCAGTTATCTTCTCTAACCCAGAGGACTTTCCTAATCTCTGAATTTCCATTCCCTGACTCTACTCCTCTGTGTCTATTACCAGTGAAGCTCAAGTCAATAGGGTAACTGGGAGAACTACCAGAACACTGGGATCTTGGAAGAACCAAGGAAAAAGATGCTGCAGAAGGATTTTGTGTGTCATGTTTTGAATATATACTCATTAAGCACTTTCTTCCCCACCACATTTGGAAGGTCCTCTTCCTGGGGGTGATGGGAGCTAACCAGAGACAACTAATTTTAAGTCCTCTATGACTGTACAGATACCTGGATGTGATAGGCAAGGGCCTAGACTTTACCATACTTACATGGCTCTGGAGAGGCTCATTCGAGATTCTTCCTATCTAGAATGGGCATGCCTGTCCAAAGGACACATGATTTAGGGCATTCATAACTCATTTACAAGAGATTAGGAAGAGCTGGGCATGATGATACATCCTGTAATCTCAATGCTTGGGAGGCTGAGGCTGAAGGACTGCTGTAAATTGAGGCCTGCATGGGCTACATAGTGAATTCCAGGATAGCATAGGATACATAATAACAATCTGTCTCAAAACAATAAAACCCCAAAAGAGATTAGGACAAAGAACTGACAGGAGCTGGAATGGAAGCAGAAGAGTGCACCAAGAATCATCTTTGAGACCCTTTATAGTCTTGAACAAGGGAAAATGGTCAAAACGTAAAGTTAGGATGTTGAACCTTTGCAAAGACTTACAGGACTGGACTGAGCAAACAAAGGAAGCTCAAGGGAGAAAAGATGGCTGATTATAGTTGATTTGGTGTGTTGAATATCATCTCTGATGCTCTGGGCAAGTAGAAACAAGTTTCTCCCTTCCTCTAAAGCTGAGATGGGTATGTGTGCTGAGTGACGAGGAAGGGAGAGGGATGGGGTATCAGATACACAGGAAGTGCTGGGTAGTTCCATTCTGATGGGCATGCTATTGGGAATACAGAGCCTAGATCTGAATTCTGGTTTACTTTGTGAAATAAATTTAGCCCACACTCCTTCTCTCTGGACCCTGGGTTTCCTCTGCTGCCACCTTTTTTGTTTGTTGGGGTGGGAGTGAATGGGGTGCCACGCTCCACCTGCTCACTAGAGAAACCAGAGCAGAAGTGGGGAAAGGTGACCTGAGGACAGCAGGTATGATAGAGGCATAGCTTCTGTGAAGGATGTTCAAGATTCAGAAGTTGGAGACTAGCTGGAAGGAAGACCTCAGGTGGAGGGAGACATCCTTGATGACTATCTTTATAGGTCATTTGGTAGAGGGGAGCCTATAAGTCAGGAGAAATGGGATAGGAATGGGTGTAGATCAGTAAGTAAGATCCCAGAGATGAGACAGTTTGGGGCATCAGAGACAAAGTAGCCAACAACAGGTACAGGAAAAGGGTAAAGAAGAACTGGCAAACAAGCTGAGAAGAATCTCCTAAAGCCACCCAGGGCTGCTGAACTCCTCCACAAACACCCTTTGCTGATGTTGTGCCCCCTTCTCTCTTATCAGCGGACCCTGCAGTGCAGACAGATGGCAGCCCTCTCTGTTGCCATTTCCACTTCAGCCCCAAGGTGATGTTCACAAAGGTACTGAAGGCCCAGCTGTGGGTCTACCTTCGGCCTGTGCCCCGCCCAGCTACAGTCTACCTGCAGATCTTGCGACTGAAACCCCTAACTGGGGAAGGGACCACAGGGGGAGGGGGTGGAGGCCGGCGTCACATCCGTATCCGTTCACTCAAGATTGAGCTACACTCACGTTCCGGCCACTGGCAGAGCATCGACTTCAAGCAAGTCCTACACAGCTGGTTCCGCCAGCCACAGAGCAACTGGGGCATCGAGATCAACGCCTTTGATCCCAGTGGCACAGATCTGGCTGTCACCTCCCTTGGGCCAGGAGCTGAGGGTCTGGTGAGCAGGGGGCCTGAAGTGGTGGTGGACATGTGTAACCTGGCCCTAAAGAGATGGGGATTAGAAAAAGTAGATCAGGAATGTGAAGGGGGTTGGGGACCAGTGTTTTTTCTCTGGGGCCAGGAATTGATTCTAGAGGAGGTGGAGGTGGGGTGGCAACTATCACTTTTCAGGGATCTAAGCCAGGCAACAGCTGAAAACGGGATTTGGGGTGAAGTTGTCAGTTAATGGGAGATCCGTGGGAACACAAGAAACTGGCCCTTGTCTGGGCGTGGTAGTGCTTAATCCCAACACTAGGGAGGCCAGGCAGGACTGGGAGTTCAAGGCTATTCTCTGCCACATAGCAAATTTGAGGCCAGTCTGAGCTACATGAGATTCCATCTCAAAAAATAAAAAACCCAAATCCTTGGCCCTGGATGAGGTTCTGGGCTGAGGGTCTAATAAAGGTCAGGTTACCAGGAAAAAAAGTTAGGGAAAGGAAGAAATGGCTAAATGGGAAGAGAATGGGTAGAAGATGAGGACTGGGGGATAGAGCAGTGGACAGGTGAAGATATCAGTGGTTTCTGTTCTCATGCTCCTGTTGATAGGCAGGTAGGAAAGGACAGGGAAGAGAACTGTTCAGGGCTATGTCACATCTCTCTCCCCTCTCCCCGACCTTCAGCATCCTTTCATGGAGCTTCGAGTCCTAGAGAACACAAAACGGTCCCGGCGGAACCTAGGCCTAGACTGCGATGAGCACTCGAGTGAGTCCCGCTGCTGCCGATATCCCCTCACAGTGGACTTTGAGGCTTTTGGCTGGGACTGGATCATCGCACCTAAGCGCTACAAGGCCAACTACTGCTCCGGCCAGTGCGAGTACATGTTCATGCAAAAGTATCCGCACACCCACTTGGTGCAACAGGCCAATCCAAGAGGCTCTGCTGGGCCCTGCTGCACCCCTACCAAGATGTCCCCAATCAACATGCTCTACTTCAATGACAAGCAGCAGATTATCTACGGCAAGATCCCTGGCATGGTGGTGGATCGCTGTGGCTGCTCCTAAGGTGGGGGACAGTGGATGCCTCCCTCACAAACCCTATCCCAAGAACCCCAGCCCTGGTCCCCATCCCCTCAAGCCCTAGAGCTCCCTCCACCTCTTCCCATGAACATCACACCTTGTTCCCTGACCAAGTAGTGTGCAATACAACAGAGGGAGGCAGGTGGGGATGGAGAGGTGAGGGGTTGGGGGAAAGGAAGGGCAGTCAGGGTGGAATGTATCTGAGATTTGCAGGTGAGAAGGTTTGGCAAGAAGACAGAGATGTAGAGACAGGAAGAAGATGGAAGGATAGAGACAGACGAACAAACAGAGCAACACTGAGAAGGCAAAGGAATAGAGAGACAGAAGAGATAAGTGACTAGGCAAACACTGAGAAAGAGACTGAAATGGAGTAAAGTGAAAGCCCCACCCCAAGCTTCCTTTTTCCATCAGCAAGGTAAGAGGCTTGGTAGAGTTTGGGGAGTTCCCCTGACAACTCAGTAGGAGTAAATCAAAAATTCATTCTTAGCTTCTTCCCTCTCTCCCTCCAACAGTAGCCAGAGGAAGTGGAATGAGGCTGGGGCAAAGTAAGGATTTGGGGATTTTTTTTAATTTATTTATTTATTGTGATTTTTTTCATTTTTTGGTATTTGGCTTTACTGGAATACGAGGGATCCTGCCCACTATGCCTCCATTTGTCCCTTATTCCCCAAACCCTGCTCTTCCCTAATACCCACCTACTTAAGCACTTGTATTAAAGCCTCCAGGGTTGGGAATGGGAGTAAAGGGCAAGAGGGCTGACACATGAAGTTTCTAACCCATAATCACCCTAACCAACCTCCTTGAGCCAAACAGGTTGAACTGAGTGGTCATGGAAACAGTAAGAAGTTAGGACTTAAGAGCTGGGGGAGGGGAGCCCTCAACATCCAGAATCTGTGAGAGCCACTAACCTACCCCTCAGGCCCACCTTCATATTACTCAGCCAGAGGGTACAGCCTGCTTATGCCCAAATTCCCCTCAGCCAAGAGACCAAAGAGCCTGTGGAATGCCTCTGCTCTCAGCCTCTATCTTCAGGTCAATAAAAAGTAGAAATCCCAGAGTTCCCCAGGTCTGGGAAGGGTTAAGGGTCAAGAAAATAGTGAAGAGGCTGAAGGTTCAGAGCATTTGAACCCAAATCACTGCTCTGGGCTAGGGAATACAGCCAGCAGACCAAGGTGGAAGGGATTCTGAAGGGGGGACATTTTAGTCCCCCTACCCCAAAGCTCAGGGTGGAAGAAAGGAGAACAAGGGAGCAGAGTATCTATAATCTTTATCTTTTATTTTTGGAATATAGCAGTACCTGGCAACAGGAAGGGGACAGTACAATAGGGAAAGGCATATGACAAGGCCAGTTATAACAGAGGATGGGAAGGGTGGAGACTCTAGTTTGGAAGGCTAGGAAGCAGGAAGAGACTAGTTGCCACTTCAAGTTACTAGCTGGGCCCATTCATGCCTCCCACAATCCTGACCCACCCTCCTCTGGACTCATTGTGCCTCAATTTCTTCCCCTTGATGGAATGAGAAACAGCAGCACCCGCCACAGCCAAGAGATGAATTCTGAGCACTTACCACGGGCACTTTATGGACGTAAAATACCTCTCGCTGTGGGACTAGATAACCAGGGCACCAGAATAATGGCGAAGAGATGCGAGGCTTAATGGACAGGCTTCAGAATACAAGTTCCCCTCTGCCTCCCAGCTGGACAGTGCCTGAAGCCAAGGAGTTGAGAATCCCCACACCCCATCCATACCTCACCAGTGACCTCTTGGCTCTAGACCAGAGTCTGGGGGGTGGGGAAGGCTACAGCAAAATGGTCACTGGCAGAGACAGTAGTTATGGTCTGGTAGAAACAGGACTGAAGTAAAGCCTGACAAGGAAGGCTTGTTCTTCCTGAGAGCATGTCTCTCTCACTTGGACCAAACTATAGAAGTGACAAAGGTACGTGACTATCCTTAGCATCTTATTCCTATTCTCATAGTGAGAAAATGAGATAAGGTGTTTCCATAGGCAGGGGCTGTTAAGCCTTTCAACTCACGTCCCATGTAGCAGCTGTTAGCTCAAGCCTCTTCTCTGGTCCTGTTCATCCTTCTTTCTACCCCTGTCTTAAAGAATAAGACACATTTAACCATCAACATCCATCATATTTCCTTGATGGAAGAGAGGAACAGAAAAGCAGAGTGAAGATGCTATCTTCCAAGGTCAAATGCCTCTTGATCTTGGAAAAGGTAGGGGTTGGGCAATTAGGCATCAGGTTACTTCTCTCTAGAGAGCTGGGGCATTAAACTTGGAGGACACTTCAAATACTGCCCCTTTATTACCACCAAGTAAATACCTTTCCAAGGGGGAGGAGTTCTTATGAATACAAATCTGAGTTAAGTCTCAGTCCCCTGACCTTCTCTATCCTGTAAGAGGTGTGAGAATAAAGGGGTTTGAGGACATGACCTAGCAATTCAGCGGGAGCCAGCCCCTCTTCCCACACCTTACTTGTGGGCCTGGCCAGTGCTCCTCTGAACATATCATTATTAGTGTATTTCATTACTTTGTGTATTTGTTACATCATGTGTGTGATTGCCTTTGTAAAGGGTGTTTGAGGAGTACGGGGTTGACAGGGGCACTGGAATGCCAGGAAAGGACTGCTTTGCTGAAATCAAAGCTTCCTGGAAGGAACCACTGCAAAAAAGGCCATCAGACAGTTTTCAAGTTATGTGACAGAGGGCAAAGATGGCCATAGGGTGCTCTAGTTTTGGGATAGTCACATGACACAATCCAGCACTTGAACCTGAAAAAAGAAAAATAAAAGCAGTCAAAGAGTTTAGAATTCAGTGCTGAGCTCTCCCTAATCAAGCGTCACATTTATACCCAGAAGACCAAGAACTGAAGAGGATCTAAGAGAGGAAACCTTTTATTCTAGGATTAAGATGATGTCCTTGCAGCAAGAGAAAACACTAAGGGCATTTGGGTGAGGATTGGGACACGTAGTCTAAGGACGGACAGAGAATGGGAAAGGGAGGAGACCTACAGTAATTCTGGATACGAACAGTCCCAAAGATTACAAAAGCATTTCCTAGCCCCCACAGGATGAAAAATCTAAAATTTCTCTTGAAATGACCCTACAGAATGTCATCTGTCCTACTTTTCAGTCTTATAGTCCTAGGCTGCCTCGACAGTAACCCAAACTAAACCAAAGCTCTTTGCTTTGCCTATGTAACACAAGTGGCTGAGCATCTCAATCACTGAGCCCTCTATAAAAAGTTGCTCCCATGGGCCCACAACACAATTCCCAAGGCCTAAGAGATAGAGATGGCAAAAGAATCTTGCCTGAGTTGCACTGAGGATCCAAAGTGGTCAACTTGCTCTCTCCATTCCATTAGTTCTATCAGCAAATTGACCCCACCTTAGACCAATCAAAACACAGATTGAAAACAGGTGAGGTTGGGACTCGTAACAAATGTATTTTCTCCTTTTGCCCATTTGTTTCCTGCAAAGACATTTAGAAAAAACTGGGATGCCTTTTAAGTCTTCCTTTTCCTGATTCACCTTCCAAGCCAGTGCACAAGCAGCTAGCCTGTACTGTATCTTTGACAATTTTTTTTTTTTTTTTTTTTTTTTTTTTTTTTTTTTTGAGACAGGGTCTCACTATGTAGCCTGGCTGTCCTGGAACTATGTAGACCATACTGGCCTTCAACTCACAGAGATCCACCTGCCTCCGCCTCCCAAGTGCTAGGATTAAAGGTGAACACACCATACCCGGCATTACATTTTTTTATTCCGTGTATGGCTGTTTTGTGTGCACCCATGTATGCAGTGCCCACAGAAGTCAGAAGAGGATGTCGGATCCCAAACCAGTGTCTTCTGCAAAAGCAGTCAGTGCTCTTAACTGCTAAGCCATCTTTTCCAACCCCTTGTTTGTGAGTCTGGCTGGCCTGGAACTTATTCTCCCTCCCAAGTACTGGGGTTAAAAGCATGCACAACCATGCCAGGCTCCTCTGACAAGTTTTTGGATGTAAGGAGCAGCAAAAAAGTCACTATCCCAGGTGATAAGGTAAGCTTTCCTGTCAAGAAGCTAGATTCGAGGGGGTAATGCCCTGGCCTCTTCCCAGTCTTCAAACCTCCAAACAAATGCAGAAGGTATATTCATATACACAAGGGCCCAAATCACTCTACTCATCCAACTCCATCCTCTAGCTGGAACCTACTCAGGGAGGAAAAAAATTCCACTTATTCTAAATCTTCATTTTACTCTAGTAAACTTCAGAGCTAATATGTCTTAAATGACTACTATGCAAACTACAGGGTGGTATGTAATTTAGGCTAAGTACATAGTATTTAATTCTCACAGCAACCCTCACAATAGGGTTCCTATTGATATAAAATCTGGAAAGAGTCACAGAATGATTAATTTGCCCTGTCAGATTTCAGAGCCAATATGGTAGAATAAGGTAGTTTAACAAACAGTATTACATTGTAATCTAGTCTGTTAAATGATATGAAAGGTGGAAAACTAAATACAGGGACAACGGAAAGAATGAGAAAGCTGAGGAACACCTTTGGGTCAAAGGGACTGCAGAAGTGTGAAACCTTTTCCAAATCCTTTGGAGGGAAAACAAGAATCTGAAAACAAGAGAAAGAGGTTAGGGATGGGGATGTAGCTAGGTTTGTAGAGTGCTTTCCTGGTGTACACGGAGCACAGAGTTCCATCCCCAGCACTGCAGACTGCACGAAACCAGGCACAGACCTGGAATACAACACTCAAGAAGAGGAGGCAGGAAGATCAGAAACTCAAGGTCATTCTCAGCTACACAGCATGTTTGGGGCTAGCCTGGGCTACATGAGGCCCTGTCTTGGGAGAAAAAAAAAGGTTGGAATTTTGAGGGAATTCAATAATCTGACACCAGTGGCATTGCCTGTCAAAGGACTCATGTAGAAGAAGTTTTGAAAAAGTTCTTCCCTATAGCCTTCACCCTGACAGAAGCATTAGCTGACTGACTACCTTCAGCATTTCTCAGCTGGAGCAAAATGGACTGGCATTTAGGGTGATGATGGTGAGAAAGAGAATGAGCCTAGAGAGCCATAGTAAGCTGCAGATTCACAGCTAAGGAAGCCAGTTCCTGCCACAGCTTTTACAGACTCCATTAAGAGCTAGGTATGTAGGGAACGTCAATGCTGATCAGCTACAAGAGGGAGGCTGAGAGATAAGGAGGAGAGTATTTGGATTCCAGATAGAGAATTCCAAGCCTAGATGTTTGTCTAGCCAAACAAAACAAAGACTTAGATTTAAAGACTAAATTAGTAAACACAGGCTTCTCAACTCTTCATGCTCCATGAATGGAATGACTATGAGACAGAAAGAAGAGGACTTGATGGCCAGTCTTAGAGGCTAGAGAAGCTTCTGACCAACTATTATGAAAAATTGTAGAAATAAAGGGTTAACTAAAAAAAAAAAGAAAGAAAATCTCAGTACATTTGAGAAACACTATACAAGATTTGGGGAAAGCACTGAGTAAAGACAATTACATCTTAATAGAATCAGGCAGGTAGGATGGCTCAGTAAAGTGCCTGCCGCTCAAGCAATGAGAACCTGAGTTTGGAACCCCAGCACCCAGCAGCATGGAATCTGTCTCTAGGGGACAGAGCTCTCTGGAAATTATTGGCCAGCCAGCCTGGCTAAATCAGTGAACCCAGGCTCAGTAAGAGACTGTCTCAATAAACAAGGTAGTGATCAAAGAAGAAAGCTGATGTGGACCTCTGGCCTACACATGCACAATCTGTCTCCACCTACGCATTCATCTCTCTCTCTTCTCTCTCTCTCTCTCTCTCTCCCCCCCCTAATAAAACCATTAAGAGGATCCTACCAGGTGTGTTAGCAATCCCAGCAGAATCAGGAGGATGCTGTAAGTTTGTGAAGCCAGTCTAGATCACATTGTACAACTCTGTCTCAAAACCAAGGGGGACAGTGTGCAGAAAGAATCCTAGGTAGTAAAGCTAAATATGTCCCTAGAATGTTATGGAGGATAAAAAATAGTTCCCACACTGCTTCATCCTATTACCAGTATCTGTTTTATTCCCTCAACTTTTTACTAAATATTTAAACCATCCGGAGGTATAAACACTGAATACACTTAAAATCTGTCCCGATACAGAAAAGATTCTCTCTGGTTTTCAGGCGGAGACATCAAAGAAAGAAAAAAAGTTGTTTTAGGGCTGGAGAGATGGCTCAGCAGTTAAGAGCAGTGACTGCTCTTGCAGAAGACCCGGGTTCGATTCCCAGCCCCCAAATGGTGGCTACGAACTGTCTGTAACTCCAGTTCCAGGGGAATCCAATACCCTCTTCTGACTTCCATGGCACTGCACAACACGGGTGCACTCACATACATGCAGGCAATACACTCATACACATAAAATAAAAATAATATATTTTAAAAAGGAAAAAGTCTGGAGAACATAGCCTGAAGTAAAAAAAGGGAGGCTAACAGAAGAGAATGGGAGAAAAGGCTAAGTCACTAATTGTATGATTTGGATGAGAAGGGAACAAATATTTAACCAACTTTCTCTCTCTTCAGTTTTCCTAATAACTCAGAAGGAGCAAAATTTACAACAAATCCAGAATCTTCGGATCTGCTCTCCACGGCAGTTTTCCTAAAGTACCTAAACTTAGGTTCCTGCTTTTCTTCCAACCAGAGACTTGTGCAGAGGGTTTTTGTTGTTTTCTAAAAATAGGGTCTCATTGTTTAACTGGCAGGCCTTGAAATCGAGTGATCCACCTACTTCTGCTCTGTAAGTGCTGTGATTACAAGTACATATCATGCTTGGTGGTAAAGGATTATGGGAGGAAAGCTGAACTATTAACTTTTTTTTAAATTGTATTTTATATATTATCAGTGTATTGCCTTATGCATATAAGTGCACCTGTGTTGTACAATGCCTGCAGAGGTCAGAAAAGAGCATCAGAGCCCCTGGAACTGGAGTTATGGATGGTTGTTAGCCACCATGTCAGTGCTGGGAACCAAACCTGGGTCCTCTGCAAGAGCAGTCAGTGCTCTTAACTGCTGAGCCAACGCTCCAGCCCCAAGCTATTAACTTTTTATTCGTCACAAACCCATCTAGGTTTTGGGTAAAGGACAAAGATTATACCACAGCAACACAGGATCTAATTATGGTAGCAAAGTTTTCAGGTAAGCTATCAGACTTTTAACTTTTATGACTTTTCTAAAGAAAATCCCCCAAACCAAGCTTTTATATGAAGACTTAAATGAGAAACCCAGGGCTGGAGAGATGGTTTAGTGGTTAAGAGCACTTGCTCTTGCAGAAGACCTGGGTTTAGTTCCCAGCACCCTTATCAGGCAGCTCACAACAGGGGATCTGATGCCCTCTTCTGGCCTTTGTGGGTGCCTGCATGAACATACAAACAGGCACACACACATACATACATATAAGTTTTAAAAAAAGGATAATAAATGAGAAACCCAATGACAGGTGCATGCTGTAATCCCAGTTCTCAGAGAAGGCCAGATAAGAAGGCTGCCTGGACTTCAAGGCTTCTCTGGGCTATATCCATGTACCAGTTCAGGCTACATAGTGAGAACTTGTCTCAAAAACCAGGAAAGGAAAAAGAGAGGGTGGGAGAGAAGAGACAAAAACCTTATGTTAACATATCAAAAAGAAGTCCTAAGTACCAAGTTTCAGATATAACTTGAAATGCAAACAAGCAACCTGCTTGGGAGCGCCAAACTTTTCCTAAGTAGGTGGTTTGGCAAGGAAAATGAATTTTAATGATATCCAAGACACATTAAATCACCAAAACTACAATAGCACACTTTTGCAACAGAAAAGCACAACCTGGCACAGAGCTTAACTAGAAAGTGAAAGCAGGTTTGGGGTGTAGCTCAGCAGTAATGTGCTTATGTAGTATGTGCAAGGCTCTGTGTTCAATCCCCAGTACTTGGGGGTGGGGGCTAGAGGAGACACATCTAGTTCCACTCATGTTCTCAATGATCTAGGCAACAACTGCTGACATCTCCTGCCATGCTTTCGATTTCTATACTTTCTTCTACTTTAGGGGTAGCCAGCTCATCTGCTTTCTTGAGCTATATAAACAAGGTCTCACACACTGACTTCTGCTAAATCAAACAGTACCATGACAGGTCATACTGGAAAACGGGCCCTTCCTTTACTATGGACTTTACTTTATAAATAAAACTTCATTATTAAAATCATTAGCTCTTATATTTTTCATTTCCTAAAATCTTGAATGTCCCCCCCCCCTTTTTTTTGGTCTTTTTTGAGACAGGGTCTCCCTGTAGTCCCAGCTGACCTCAACTCACTATGTAGACCAGGCTGGCCTTGAACTCACAGAGATTCTCCTGCCTCTGCCTCCCAAGTGCTGGGACTAAAGGCGTGCGCCACCATACCCGGCTGTTTTCCCTATTTTATCTCAATGGGTCACGTCAACCTTCTAAAGCAAACACTTGGGGTAACTTGGTCTTGTCATGGAAAATAAAAATAAAAGCATGTTGTTAAGTATGAAGATAATACGTAGGCTTAAAAGGCAGACTCAATCCTCTTCCTTATCTTCTTTTCCAAGGGATAAAGGCGTTATAGCTAAGGCCCCCAAATTTCTGCCTCTGAAACTCCCTCTATCTGGTCTAATGTGGCTCCAGGAACCTTTTTAAAAGGAACACCTAATAAAACACATGTTCTCTTTTCTTTCCTTTTTTATTAACAAGCAAAATAATTAAAAACAAAAACACAACAACCTTAAAGGTAGAAGAACAGTTAAGTCAAACTGCTGCTGCTAGAGTTCATGGATGTACCTGAGGTACACACATGCTTCCTCACTGCAATGGGAAGGATGTAGGCACATGACTGTGCATTTAGGTTTAGGTGTATATATATATATATATATATATATATATATATATATATGTGTGTGTGTGTGTGTGTGTGTGTGTGCGCGTGCGTGTGTGTGTGTTTATGAGAATTTTGGAAATGGAAATCACTCGTGTGTGTGTGTGTGTGTGTATGAGAATTTTGGAAATGGAAATCACTAGGTCACTAGGTAGCAGAAAGCATGAAGAACTTTTCATTATGCAATCCCAAAGCGCTCTGCTCTTTTCCTCTTCTTTGCCTGTAAGGAAAAAGAAGAAAAGAATTAGCCTGTAAGACAATGGGAGAGTAAGTTCCTGGCTGTTCTGATCAAACTCCTATGAACTGTCACAAGATCTAAGGGACAACTCAGACCTCAAGTCAGAGATTTCATTCCTGAGTCCCTCCATTATATATGGTCAGAGCTGGGGACGTTTAGTGAAAAAGAAGGTGAGAAGATTAAGGGGAACCAGGGGAGAGAAGGAAGAGCATAGTGGCAGAAAATGGAAAGATTTCCTGAAGAAGAAAAGATGATTCAGCCTTCAAATAAGCTAGCTTGGAAATAATTTGTCGTTAACATGGTAGGGAAAGTCTTCCAACCAGTGGAAGATGGGCGATTTCAGAGGGCAAAAGGTTAATCAACACCAACCACAGAGGGAGAGGTGGTGGGGATGCTCTTTTGAACAGTCAGGATGAGGCAGTAGCTCTGCCTTAGGCCTACAGTCCAAGAGAAGCATGCAAATCTTCAGTGCTAACAGAATAAATTGGAGGAGGAAGGGTGTTTGCAAGAAGTCCTTGTTATGGATCTCTTAAGGAAGGCATCGCCAGAAAGAGGCCACAAAATCAGACAGTGGGAGCTTTTCCTTTCATGAGTGACACACAAAAACCACTTGTCTTTCATCTTCACTTCAGTTACTGTCCCAGAACACCTTTCTGTAGTCAATTCACACTGAAGATTTAATAGATTTTTTTTATTTATTATTTTTACTTTTATGTGTATGCATGTATTGCCATGCAATGCCTGCAGAGAACAGAAGAGGCTGTTGGAGTCCCTGGAACTGGAGTTACAGACAGTTGTTAGCTGCCATGTAGGTTCTGGGATTTGAACCTGGGTCTTCTGCAAGAACAGCCAGTGTTCTTAACCGCTGAGCCATCTCTCTAGCCCTTAATACAGATTCTTAAAAAAAAAAAATCTGAATATATTCAAGTCACACTCACTCCACTTGGACTGACACAATTCCTTGGAAACAAACAAAACTGGTTTATGTAAACAGCATTAGTGTCAGAAGTTACTACTTCCTTATAAGCACTCACTCTTCTAACAAAAGCCACTGTTCTTTCAACCATTCAATCCTCAAGCCAATGACCTACTTAGTGCAATACCTGGCTTATAGCTTCCTTAAGGAGGAAGTGATTCTAACCAGAAATGAAAAAAAGCTTCAGTTTACTTTGAGTTCATCCTGGTAAATCAGTAAGCAAGCAGATACAAGTAGCATTTTATTTCAGTAGCACAAAATATACTGATTCTTCAGCTTTTTTCCTAGTAAAGAGTGTTATATCAGCCAGGTGTGGTGGTGCATGCCTTTAATCCCAGTACTTGGGAGGCAGAGGCAGGTGGATCTCTGTGAGTTTGAGGCCAGCCTGGTCTACATAGCAAGTTCTAGGTGGGCTGGGGTTACAGGGAGACCCTGTCTCCAAAACACCCCCCCCCCAAAAAAGAGTATTATATCAATTTAACTGTGATTTTTCATGGTTTATGAGACTGACTCTGGACATTAACTCATAAAAACACTTTAGGGGATAGGGAGATGGCTTACATGGTAAAGTATTTGCCACCATGCCCAGTCTTAAACAGTTTTTTGAGGGCTTGTTTCAGCAGTTACAGTAAAAGAAAAAAAAAAGGGCAAATCTTTCATTTTGGTTTCTTTTCTTTCTTATTTTCTTTTTCCTAGAAGTACTAGAGATTGAATCTGGGGTTTCATACACATAAACTGCACCACAACCTCTAACATTCTCTTTCATTTGGGGGAACCATTTGTAAATAAAGTTATACTAAGAAGTGAGCTTTCTTTCCATTTCTACCATCTTTGAGCCTGTGGAGGCCTGCTGGAAACAGAACTTCTAAAACGCAAAGTATGTCTGGAAGGCTGTGGTACAAGACTATTTTTATTGGCTATAAGCGGGGTTTCCAGAACCAATGGGAACACATAGCTCTTCTTAAAATTGAAGGTGTTCCCAAGATGAAACTGAATTTAACTTAAGCAAAGGATGTGCTTAGATATAAAAACAAAAAAACCCAACAACACAACTGCCTTTAATCCCAGCATTGAGGAGGCAGAGGCAAACAGATCTCTGAATTTGAGGCCTCGTGGCAAACTGAACAAAACCAATCTGGAGAATGATAACTCAGGTCCATGGAAACAGTGGCATGGTTTGTGTCAAATTCCAAAGCAATCTCATGCCAAGACTACTAGACAGAGAATTATGTGATGCTATACCCCTTGAGGATTTAAACTAATAAAAAATAATAATAAAGATGGCTCTATTAACAATAACAAAGATTGAGAAGTTGGGGAGATGGCACAGTTGGCAAAGTAACTGCCACATCAAGCACAAAGACCTGAATTTGTATCTCCAGTAGCCATGTGAAATCTGGGCATGGTGGTACGTATCTGTAAACCTAGTAGACAGAGTATAAAGACAGGCAGATCCTCAGAGTGACCTCTAATTTCAGTAGGAGACACAGTCTCAACAAATAGAGGGACTAGAAAAATGGCTTAATGGCTAAGAGCACTTCCTGCTGTTGCAGAGGAGCTGGGTTTGGTTCCCAGCGCCCATATGGTGGCTAGCAACTACCTCTCACTCCAGTTCCATGGTACCTGATGTTCTCTTATGGCTTGCTGGCATCAGGCATGTACATGGTGCACATATATACATGCAGGCACTCATATATACATACGAAGTGTACAAAGTGGATGCCACACAAGCCTGGCAATCTGAGTTCAATCCCTAAAACCCACGTAAAGGTAGAAGGAGAGAACCAACTCCACAAAATTGTCCTCTGACCCTCATAAGCATGTCCTTGCACACAAATAATAAACAAAGTGGAAAGTGATAAGAGGAAGACATAAAAAAAAATCTACTACTTAATACTACAAAATGATTTAGAGACCCCATTCCAAGCATCCATCCATCCAACCATCCATCTATCCATCTATCTTGAGACAGAGTCTCATTATCCATCCATCCAGCCAGCCAGCCAGCCACCCACCCATCTATCTTGAGAGAGAGTCTCAGTATGTAGCCCTGACTGACATGAACTCACTATGTAGACCAGACTGTTCTCAAACTCAGAGGGATCTGCCTGCTTCTGTCCCCAGAGTTCTGGGATTAAAGGTGTATGTCACCCCACCCCATCCCCAAGCATCTTAGATAAAATCTAAAATATTTTAAATATTTTATTTATTTTTATTTTACGTGTATGAGTGTATTGCCTGCATGTGTGTAAGTGCACCCATGTCATGCAATGCCTGCGAAATCAGAAGAAGGCATCAGATTCCCCTGGAACTGGAGTCATGGATGGTTGTTAGCCACCATGTGGGTGCTGGGAATCAAACCCAGGTCCTCTCCAAGAGCAGTCAGTGCTCCTAACCGCTGAGCCATCTCTCCAACCCAAAATCTAAAATCTTACATATTTTATTTTATTTTTTATGTGTATGCCTGCATGTAGGTAAGTGCACCATGTCGTGCAATACCCACGGAAGACAGAAGAGGCTGTCAGACCCCCTGGAACTGGAGTTACAGACAGCTGTTAGCTGCCATGTGGGTGCTGGGATTTGAACCTGGGTCTTCTGCAAGAGCAGTCAGTGTTCTTAACCGCTGAGCTATCTCTCCAGCCCCTATTTTATCTTTAAATCTTTCATTTATTTATTTTATTTTATGTGTACGAGTGTATTGCCTCCATGTATGTGAGTGCACCCATGTCATGCAATGCCTTGGAGGTCAGAAGAGGGTATCGGATTCCCTTGGAACTGGAGTTGAGAACAGTTTTTAATCCCAGCACTTGGGAAGCAGAGGCAGGCGGATCTGGTCTACATAGTGAGTTCCAGGACAGCTGGGGCTACAGGGATACCCTGTTTCAAAAAGACCCCCCCCCAAAAAAAACCAAAACTAAAACAAAACAAAAAAACGGTTTTTAGCCGCTTTGTAGGTGCTGGGAATCAAACCCAGGTCCTCTGCAAAAGCAGTCAGTGCTCGTAACCACTGAGCCATCTCTCCAGCCCTGAAAATCTTTTTTTAAAAAAATATAGGTTTGTTTCATTTGTTCTTAAAAGTCTGCCTTTGTGGTAGACATATTATCTCCATTTCTGGGACAGTAAAATTAAGGCTCAGCACAGTACTGTAACTTACAAGAAATACTAAGTAGCAGAGTGACTTTTTGTTTTGTTTAGAGAGGATACTACTAAGCAGACTTAGCTGGCTTGGTACTTACTCAGACCACAGTATCCTTGAACACATGGCAATCCTCCTGCCTCAGTCTTCAGAGACACTTACACCAGTTCACCTAATTCTAAATCTCCTGCTCTTGACTACTAGGCTAACAGACTCAAATACTGAATTATTCTGTGACTACCTTATCCTGAAAAACATTCTAAAGCAAAAGTCAAATATGCCTGTGGGCACTTAAATATTTATTTTTATTTGTGTGTGTGTGTGTGCTCCCATGCACGTGAAGAAGCCAGAAGTATTGGATCTCTTGGAGCTGGAGTTCTAAGTGGCTGTAAGCCTACTGGATATGGGCACTAGGAACCAAATCCTGTCCTCTGCAAGAGCAGCAAGCTCTCTTAACCACTGAGTCATCTCTCTGGCCTCATTTTGGGTACTTAAGTAGGCTAGGCATAGGTTGCCAAATAAAAAGCCCAGTGCTGGATGTGGGATACCTCTCTTGGAACCATTAGTTGAGGGTGTCCCAAAGACCCACAAAACAATATAGGCTATTGCCCTTACTCTTGGTTGCTCACTAGAACTTGATGGCAAGACCTTATTGCTGAAGACACCACATACTTTGGTCATAAGACATGGAGAAATCAAGTTGATACTGAAGAAGTTTCCTAGCTGCTGGTCAGCTTTCATGGTACCAGAAGGTGCTATGTAAACTGCTGGGGAAAAGTCATCAACAGTCTTAGTCAGCTGTGAACCTATGAACTACAATAATGACCAGGGTGGCAAGACATGCCCATTGTTACAATAGTGGCAGGAGGAAACACAAGCCTGGTACTGTAATCTGGCCAAGAACATATAGTTGGAGAGCTCAGAGGCCCTAGGGGTGAGCCTACTACAATTATTTTACTAAACGGACAGAGTCAAACTGTCCTCTAAATTAGTATCTCTAGACCTATAGATGAGTGCAGCTCTCAGACCTCATCAGAGAAGTTTCTTTGTGCAGTGGATGGTGATTAACACAGAAACTCACAGCTGATCAAAGTACAGAGGACAAGAGCCAGTAGAGTGCTCATCTACACATGGGACATCTATATCACTCTCCCACAAGGCTCGGGGATCACTGCAGAAGAGCCAGAAAGATAAGGGTCAGAGGTCAGGGAGAACCAGAGCAAAGCAGGGTCTTCTGGACATGACAGGACTGCTGCCCTCGTGAACTCCCAGCAGCTGTGGTGGCCTGCACAGGATCAAGCCAGTCAACATTATAGCATGGAGTTCCCACCCCTGAGGAAACACTGATAGCTTCTGGGAGAGGGAAAGTCAGTTTTGTTTAAGGGTGTAGTCTCTGGTTGGGCAATCACCACCCAGTGGATGAGTGGATAGTCTCATGCCCACGATTAAGTATATGGGCAGCACAAATTGGACTCTTATAGTTTATTTTTATTTTACTTTATTTTGGCTTTTTGAGACAAGGTCTCCCTGTAGCCTCAGCTGGCCTGGAACTCACTATGTAGACCAGGGTGGCCTCAAACTCACAGAGATCAGCCTGCCTCTGCCTCCCAAGTGCTAGAATTAAAGGCATGCGCTACCATACCCAGCTTATGGTTTATTTCTAAAAAGTTGACTGCCAGGCCTGGTGACACACCTTTCATCCCAACACTCTAGGAGGTAGAGGCAGGTATATTTTTTCTGAGTTCTAGGCCAGCCATGTTTACATACTGAGACACTGTCTCAAAAAAACAAAACTTGGGGCTGGAGAGAGAGCTCAGCAGTTAAGAGTACTGGGTGCTCTTACAAAGGACCCACATGGCAGCTAACAACTATAGGTTAACACCAGTTACAAGGGAATCCAATGCCTTCTTCTGACTTCCACAGGCATTGCACAGCATGGGTGCACCTACATGCAGGCAATACACTCATACACATAAAATAAAAACAAACTTTTTAAAAAAATTAAAAAAAAAAACAAGAAAACAAGCAAAAAAAAAATCAAACGAATGAAACAACAAAAAACCCAAACAAACAAATGCTAAAACCAAATGCAGGGGCAGTGAGACAGATTGGAAGGTTAAAGCATTTGCTGCCAAGTCTGACTTCAATGTCTGAGACCCACATGGTGGAAGGAGAGAACTAACCTGTCCTCTGATCTCCACAAGCTTGTTATGGCACACATGTACGCCCCCCCAACATATAAATGAAAAAAAATTATTAAAAAAAAAAAGTTGGGCTGGGCGTGGTGGTGCACGCCTTTAATCCCAGCACTTGGGAGGCAGAGGCAGGCAGATCTCTGTGAGTTCAAGGCCAGCCTGGTCTACATAGTAAGTTCCAGGACAGCTGGGGCTACAGGG